TGTTTGTTTGTTTGTTTGTTTGAAGTTTAAGCACAAAGCTACACAATGGGCTATCTGTGCTCTGCCCACCACGGGTATCGGAACCCGGATTTTAGCGTTGTAAGTCCGCAGACATACCGCTGTGCCACTGGGGGGCAGCATGTTTGGAATTTTCCAAAAAATGTAGCGGAAAAAAGGATTATAGAAACCTGTTTCTTGTAACTTTTCACTTATCCACAAAAACCAATACTTTTGCTATAAAAAAAAGGTTTTTGCTGTAATTATTTTTTCGATAAAATTTTTCGAAGTTATAAATTTCCTGGAGTATGAAACCTTTCGATGACAACTGTACGTAACAGTTTTTCATCAACGTACATTCTACATAACTGTACATGTTTTTCATCAACATACGGTTCTACATAACTGTACATGTTTTTCATAACTATAGGAATTATTTAATAGAAACGATTTTCAACCATTTGCGACCTAGAATTTCTTTGAAATGACTAGTTATAAAATATGTCACAGAACACACTACGATCTTTTTTACTGTGAGCGTGTTATAAGAGTAACCGCTAATTCTCGTTAAGAGTAGGTTTGCAAGTAACGGCTGCTGCAGACTTGTTGTCCTTCGTCTGGTCAGCTGCTCATAATTAGGTATGGTTATGCTTAGATCTTGTGGCCCCTGATCTAGTCGTTTAACCTATGTGTGCATAAGTTTAATTGAGTCTGAAAATACCAAATACTAATTTGCAATAAACGATTGTCTAGACACCACCAAACGGCGCTAAAAGAAAACAAATAAACTATTTATACAGTAAGAAGTAAACTATTCATATATATTTTACTGTTAGTAATCCTGATCATAAGATATTGACTGGAATGTAAGAGCTTGAAAAACATAAATGTTTCGTCTTAAATGTCAATATCTCTACAATTAAAGCAGTAAGTTCAATATATCAAAAACTGAAATTCATTCATTATATTAAGAAGTTAAATATGGGCAAAAATTATATAAATCACAAAATATAAAATCTAATAACACACGCGCCTTCAAGAGGCAGACGTTTCTTTTTCAGGGGCGAATTCATACAAAAAAATTAATTTTTTTGCAATCTAAGAGGCTCTTGTAGTTAAATGGTTAGCGTGTCGGTCTACAGTTTGAGTCCATGATATGCTGCTGAACTCCCTCTGTGCCTCAAGCTGTGCTCATGTTATAAAAGTAACTGTTAATTGCGTTATTCCGTTAAGTGTAAGCGTGTTTCTGACTTGTTGTTTTTCCCTCTGGTCAGCAGTAAAAAATTAGGGACGGCTATACTTAAATGTTGGGGGTCTCTGGCTGTTTTTACTCATGCTCATGTAAGTTTGGAAAATGCCAAATACCTAGAATGTAATGTATCATAAAAAGAGTAGGGCCTTTATATTTTTGCTGTAGGATTAGAATTCATAAATCGCCAATAAAATGAGTTTATTGTTGTGATGGGGAAATATAACATTTCAATTTCTCTTTTATTAGAAGCTCTTCTCAACGTTCAACGTTTTTATTGCTTAACATTTATCACCGCAGTAAAAGTAAAAAGTTGGGATAAAATTCGAAGACAACATAACAACTTTAGGTTCAACTAGCCCTTGCAGCTTGAACGTAGGGATGTTTCTATGTTCTGTAACAATTACACCACATAAAAATAACATTTAAAAAGTGCCGACCAAATCATATAACCAGGATGAAAATTAATTTGACAAACAAAAAGATATGTTAGCCATTTGATATTCTGCTATATTATGCTTTTTCTTCCCTACATCGTAAATAGGATGTTTTTACCGTTTCTGAACATCAGAATGCTTTTTTTACTGACGTATGTTATTTACTGTAATAGTTCACCTTTTCATTACAGCATTTTCAAAGTGACAGATACTCAAACTATGACAATTTAAACGTAAAAAAAATGCAAGTTGGAGACAAGTCTGACTACTTATGCTGAAAGACAACTTTGTTCCATATATTAACATTTCAAATTACGACAACGCGATATTTTACAATAATGTTTTCTTATGAATCTAATTTACGTGCACGAATATAAGAATATATTTCTGAAAAAAAATCTCAAGCAGTTACGGATTCAGAAGGCTTTGAAAGTAAAGTTTTTAAAAAAGTCACATTTTTATAGTGATTGCTAAACCAGGTTTCAGTTTTGGTAGTTGTAAATAAAATTGGAGCTTACTGGTTCAGATTTCATTGACGTAAAACAACATCAGGTTTCACTTAAGGACTCAAGATTTAGCGAGGTTTCTAATGTACAAAAGCACGAAGTAACTGAAATATTCTTAGTTTTTTCAGATGATTCAAATTCTTTTGTTGAATTGTTTCTCTTTCTTTTTCTTGAAAATTGTACTTTTTTTCTAACGTTGCGCAATGATATCAAACATTTAGCAACGCGCTCAAGTCCTCCTCCTATGTAAGAGCACGCAACGGTATTTCCTCGTATTTCAGTTAATTTTCCCGCACTACGATAACTGTCTTAATTGTAAAATATTTGACAAATACCAATAATATTTCTCAACGCCACTACTAAGTGACAGACATCAGTATAACTCTTCACACAGGTGGCTAGTGTGTTTTTGTTGGTACATTTTAGTCACTTGTGAGACTACTAATATATTCAATTTTATCTTATGATTAAGTTTAATAACAATAAAATGTATTGATGGTTAAAATATTTTTTTATATTGTATTATATTCAAATTACTTACAATCTTGACTTAGTATATAGATATTAACACTAACCTTAATCTCTACAGTTGGTTAAATATTGTGAGATATGTTAGGGATTACGGCCGTTAATGTTTTTAACAGCACTCAATCGATAATTCAGCATATTCTTGTCATTATCGGTTCTAGTGTTGATTTACGGTCTTAAGTCTGTCTAGTTATATTTTTTATGCACGATTCTTTTCTAATTCCGATTTATACATTTAGCTTACTTTTACTCACAATATCAATATCACAATAGACACAGTGAAGTGAAGGACATGTTCTATGTCCTATCGAGAAGTTGTGTAATCAGGAAGAACGAGAAGTGTGTGAATGAATGTTCAACTTGAAAGGCACCTTACATGACACGTGGGATAAGCAGCCAGGTCAAAGCCCTTCATGGTTGAGCTGTAGCCGTCCCTATTTATGAACAACTGAAAAAAAAGGAAAGCCGTTCAGTAGCCCCACCACTACGTGGGCTTTGTCCAGCATTTGAATAACGAAGCTGACCGTTACTTCAGCTGAAAGTGCAGAGTTATCACGGCTTGAATTTTGAATACTTCGATCCACTATTTGGTATCCTATCCACTAAACTGCGTCGATCCTGTTATGAAAGAATTTTTAAAGGTAGGTAATTGGCAATTTTCACTTCTATTTTGTCTTCTTTGTGAAGTATAATAGCGTATCGTATTTGATGTTTATCACAAAACTACTAAGACTTTCTGCCACTGTCCCTACTTTTGAACTATTGACAATAGGAAAAGCAGTCAGTCAGCAAGCACCCTATCACCCACCATCCACCTTAAGGGATTGGATGTCATTCTTATAGCATGCACACAGCTTAAAGTGCGGGGCATATTTTCTGTTATCGCACGGGTTCAAACCCACTTGCTTTTGTGAAGTATGTTAAAATTGGATAACTCCCTGATTGCTCGCTTAATTAGGTAGAAGTTTCTGCTACGAAGTTGTGCAATGACAACATTTAGTTTCTAATAGATATCGGCATAACAAAGTACGTGGATACATGAGAATTCATTGAAGCCGGAAATTATGTTATTTTTCTAATAATTGATTTTTTCCCCTAAAATATAAAACTATATCATAACTGTACACACACACACAGGCATACACAATAAAAGAAGAAGAAAAAACATGTAAAGAACATACTTACTGTTTCTGTGTGTATCGGATGGACGGAAAACAAAATGCCGGCAACAAAACTGACAGCACGAGGCAAGAAGAAGAGGCATAGTCTGTAATAACATGTATTTTAGAGCGACATATATATTAATTAATTTTCGTATCATAACTATATTAAAATTTAAAGAAATGCAGGAAATGGCAACCATTGGCTAAGGTGAAACTTTTGTCTCTGTTGCAAGCTAACAATATGTATGATGTTTTTTTTTCAGAAGATATATTAGCTTGAAATTTCTATACCCTATTTAAAATCATAGCTTAAATAAACTTACTTACTTTGTAGAAATATAGTAGTCTTGTTCGCCATTCTTTCTAGTTATACAGTAATACTTCAAAATGTTATAGTTTTTGTTACAGTCATAAATAACAATTACGACCTCGATGATGTTAGAAAAACACATAGATTCAAGAAATCAATTTAACACAAAAATACGATACCCTATAACCTAAATGACGTTCCTGAAATACTGTAGAAACTTTAACTGGTGTTTCTTTGTGATTTTTCAGTAATAGCTTATTCAGTTTTTCACAGTTAATTTCTTTATTTTTTATCTTAACTATAAAGATGATTCATTGTGTGTGTGTGTTAGCATCCATCACCCAGAGTTGGCTAGCTCGATTACTGTAATTTTTGGCATGATAACTAGAAACATTCTGATGGTGTAAAATGGATATTTTGTTTTGGAATTTTTATCCAAGAAGAGGGAGTAAAAAAACCTGAAATAGAACATATTTCCACTTTTTTTTTATAGACTTTTGGCTTTGACTTTAAAGACACAAGTACTTAATCAGTTAAATGAGTCAATTATTGCCTTCCACAAAGTAGGGTATACAATTAGCATCTAATGAGACCATTAGTGATTTAAAGCAAAAGGAAGAATGAAGGGGGGGAGCATTATTTAACATTATACTTTGTACATGTTTTTCTTCCTTAACGGATATCCTCAGCTAGTTTATTATAGCGTTTAAACTGTTTTTATTATAATTACACTTATGATGATTATTTTACATTTTTAGGTAATGTTTGAATTTGGAGCTATACTAAATCTTCTAATCTGGCCAAACCTGGTAAAATATTATGTGGAGTACAGCCTAAATTATCGTTAATTATGAATTTAATGATGATTCACTAAATTTTAATCATTGTAGGTTCTTGTTTTCTGGCATTGATTTATAAAATTAAGTATTTCTAGCCAGTTTATTATATAGGATTGTCTTAATTAGTGTATACACTAACTTAAATTATTTTAGTCCTGATTTCTTTATAGTTTACTTACTTTTGCTAAGAAGAAGACTAATCTGCGTGATTAACCTAGTTTGTGCAGAAGCTTTGAATAATTTAACTGGAACGTCAATAATCCTTAATTGCTTTCAAAGGCATCCAATTTAAAGTAAATATTACGTATTTTACATGATAAAAAAACGTCATTATTTACCGTGAAATGCTTTAACAGCAGTATAGTAAGATACAGACTACTTATGGTTATAGAGATAGTCAAAGACTATGCGCCTATAATACTAAAGCACGTGGAGTTATCAGGAGCATTATGTGTGTTTAAATACAACAAACATTTTTCGCTATTAACTTATATTCAAACAAAATAAAAAGCCACGAGCTTTTTGTACATTTACTAGTTACTGGGTTTTAAAAAATCTTTAAATGTTTAGAAGAGTTTTTTGTTTTTTGAATTTAGCACAAAGTTACCCAAGTGCTATCTGCGCTAACTATTCTTAATTTAGCAGAGAAAGACTAGAGGGAAGGCAGCTAGTCATCACTAGCCACCTCAATTCTTGGGCTACTCTTTTGACAACGAATAGTGGGATTAACCATGACACTATAATGCCCCCACGGCTGAAAGGGTGAGCATATTTGGTGGGACGGGGATTCGAACCCGCGACCCTCAGACTGCGAATCAAGCGCCCTAACCACCTGGCCATGCCGGACAATTTAGAAGAGAAAACTAGATAAATCGAAAGAAGTTCATAACATTCGTGTGATGCCATCTGTTTGTCTTAGAATTCACAATTAATAATTCATATTTTTTATCTCTTGGGCTCAGAATTGAATCGTGCAGCGTTTACACTACAAGTGAGTGCTCTATTGCTGAAAGTGGCTAAATATAGGTAATAAGGAATTTCTTTAGCCACTCAAGATACTCCATTTGTCCCCTTTTACAAACAAAACTCGATCTCGAGCCTTATCTCAGAACCATGGGAGAGTCCCACCTTAGACACCAGGTTTCTATGGTAATCCCTTTATGTGTGTCATGGACTTGGTTAATAAGCAGAATAAACAACACAATAAAAACTACCACCGCAATGGTAAGTATAGAAACATAACTGTTCATACAAACTATTCTTGTAGCAGTAGACTTTAAAAACTAACATATAATAAAACTTCATATAAAACTAAGGTCTGCAAAATAATAGATAAAAAAAATGCTAAGGTAATATGACAGCAAAAACTGCTACTGTAATAGTAGGATCAGAAGAACCACCACATAATACAAACGACTCACTATGAGAGGATGGGTGTTAATTTCCTGAAAAAGTCACAAAGAGAAACACTGACATAATGAAAAAGAATTTCACTGGAAAATGCAGTTTAATCATATTTGAAAACTCTCAATGTGCACTACTTCCCCTTTTATTTATATAATCACCAACCACCCTATGTAATATTTAATGTAAGCGCAGAGAGAACATGCACTTAAATATTAATGCTGTAAAAGAGGCCATGTGATACAAGTGCTGTCCAATTACCAAGATCCTTGCTATTATTATTATTATTATGCATTTGTCTGAAAGATTGTTTGTTTGTTTTGAATTTCGTGCAAAGCCACACGAGGGCTATCTGCGCTAGCCGTCCCTAAGTTAGCAGTATGAGACTAGAAGGAAGGCAGCTAGTCATCACCACCAACCGCCAACTCTTGGGCTACTCTGTTACCAATGAATAGTGGGGATTGACCGTCACATTATAACGCCCCCACGGCTGAAAGGGCGAGCACGTTTCGTGTGACCGGGGATGCGAGTTGAGCGCCCTAACCACCTGGCCATACCGGGCCTGTCTGAAAGAAATATTAAGGTTTGTTTTTGTCTCTGTCTTGTGAAGATAACACCAATAAATTGATTAACAAGTTTTGAATGGCTGAATATGATCTGGACCCTTGATGGCAATCATAACTTATAGAAACTTATCAACAGCAGTAACACATAGTACTGAAATTTCAATATTCAGTTTTATCATCTGGAAATGACTTAAACTGTATCTGGGGATTATAACATATACACATTTTTAGCAGCAATAATCGAAATTCCAATAGAGTTTTGTTTGGCTCGAAACGGGTTAGACCTCTCTGGTAATGGTAAGATAAACAAACTTTGTCCCAAAATTTCGATATACGTATTTCATTAGCTAAAAACGACTGACACCCTATCTAGTAATGGTAACACGTATAAATTAATCTGTAGCAGTAACAAGCAGTTTGGAAATTATCATTGCTATTCACAACCCCATAATTCTAATAACTAATTTTACCCCCAAAACTACAACTACACCTATTTATATATTTCAAATAATGCAATAAAAAACAAATCTTCTTACCGAGAGAAATAGACTACTCTGTCAACTATGTATTAAATTGTGTTAACATCTCTATCCACTGCGGATTAAAAATCAGAGGCGTGTAAAAATAACATTTCAGATCTGTATTTTTCTCCCACAAGTCACTGCCCAAGAGGCGTTTCGTTCAATACCAGAACTCATCAGTTGGGCTGGACATTGAGAGACAGGAGAAATGTTTGTTTGTTTAAAGTTAAGCATAAAGCTACACAATGAGCTATCTGTGCTCTGTCCACCACGAGTATCGAACCCGGTTTCTAGCCTTGTAAGTCCGTAGACATATCGCTGTTCCACTGGGGGGCCAAGAGAAATGTACAAAAATAAATCAATCAATCTGAATTGAACAGGATTTGTATCACAGATTTAGGTCTGATAGTTTCTAATGCTTCATAAGCTTCAGCCCTTAAATCTATAACTTTTTATTAATTAGTTTTATATACACACACAGTATCAGCTAAGTTACTGAGGCGTGTATCTTCAGCGATGGACATAAAAACTCTGAACTTCTCTAAAAAAAAACGAATGACTTAATTTACAAACCAGTAAAGGGTAAACATAAAAATATACCTGTAATACAAGACGCACACTAAGGCATGGAGAAGAACATTGATCACGTGATAACCCAAAGGCTGCAGACCATGGACGGCGTAGTTGAGTCGGAATGTCAAGACAGTGAATGGACGGTATGACTTGTGGCTTTGCTCCTGTTGTGAAGAGAGTAGTGTGTAACAGTCTATCTCATACAAGTATAATACTGTACTTATTACGCTTTAATTTTCGTTGTCAGGTACAAGAGAAACAAATACCGTCTAGACTATCGTAAACTATAGGTTTGTTTTAGTATATATATATGAATAAATGGAACTTATAGGGACTTGCATGTAATTTTAAGCCAAATACTAGTAAGTTAGAAGTTTTTCACAATTGAGATATGACTATAAAGGCGAACAATTGCTACAAATCACCTGTATTTAGAGAAAAAAGTTTAGAAAATATGCCTTGTGAGAACTAGTAGAACATTAGCTTCATTTTATTCTGTTAAAGTTCTTTACTTCCTACATTTATATATACGTAAATTCTCTTATATATATATAAGATTTGTTATAATGTATTGAATGTCCTTCTTTTGTTAGAAGGATATGCCTCTAAATAAATATCTAAAAATTCATACGACTATTGGCTTTATATTGATAATGGTGTTATGCCTAACTTACGAAATATTTACATTGCATGAATAAGAGTACAAAACAAAATATTAAAACGAAAAACGTAGTTCCTGGATGTTAAATAAATACACTAACCTTGTGCAATGGAGTTCCCCAGAAATCATTGAGAAAAAGATTAAGGAATGAGCTGGAAGGCCGCACGTCGCGATTTTCCTGAATAGCGGCTACGTCGTCAAACACGAGGCTCCCCCCTAAGGAGGTACTGTACACAGTCAAGGCTGTGGCTGCAATGGCCAGAGGATAAAGTCTGTCTAGCTGTTGTTTACTCATGGTGAGATACTGTGGAAAGCAAAACTAATCTGTTTGAACATAATGTTATTTTTACGTAGTTCCATAAAGTATGTTACATTTTCCATATATATATATAACTCGTTTCAAATACTGTAAGTTTGTTTATTTATTTGTTTGTCGAATTTCACGCAAAGCTATTCGAAAGCTTTCTGGGATAACCGTCCCTAATCTTGAAGTTACAGAAAAGAGGGAAGGCAGCTAGTAAACACCACCCACCGCCAACTCTTGGGCCACTCTTTACCAATAGTGGGATTGACTGTAACATTATAACGTCCTCATGATTGAAAGGATGACAGTGTTCTGTATAGTATTCGAACCTGCCACCCGCACATTGCGAGTCTATTGCTCTAGCCATCAGGCCATGCCAGACAAAACACTTGTAAAAACGTCGAGGAAGAATGTAAAGAGATATAACCACATAAGATTATTTAGCAGAATTGTTTGAATCACATCATAAAAGGTTTTAAAATAATATATTTTGTTTTATTCGTCCTAGGTTTTTATATTACAGACATTACTCGTAATTTTCGCTTTACTACAAGAAAAGCTTGAACTAAAAGCATCATGCGTTTTATGTTTAAATCAATGCAATCTTATTTATAACGCCAGATATTATAATGCTAAAAAATTGGGTTTAGATACCTGCATTGGACACAAGTAAAATAGCCCATTTGTGAAGCTTTGTGCTTAAACAACAAAACAGAAAACAAAGAATAATCGTCTGAAAGATGTATTTTGCAATATTTTGTGTGTTCTGATGATAATTACTTTTATATTTATCTTCGAAAACAAGCCTTATTTACTTAGACGATACACGTAACTCGAAATTAATAATTACATAAGCTTCTGATAGATTACATCGGTGAAATCAGCTGATTTTAGAGTTTGAATTGACTCGAAATTAATAATTACATAAGCTTCTGATAGATTACATCGGTGAAATCAGCTGATTTTAGAGTTTGAATTGACTCGAAATTAATAATTACATAAGCTTCTGATAGATTACATCGGTGAAATCAGCTGATTTTACAGTTTCAATTGAATCGAAATTGGTAATTAGATAAAATTCTGGTTGATTACATCGAAGAATGCACCCAGTTGGCTCAGTGGGCTAATAACGATAAAAAACTGAGCTTCTAGGGTTAGAAATACATCAAACAGAATTTAACCTCACTCATTTTTAAAAGCAACTACGAAATTTGGGTCTTAAGAAAAATATTTTATCGTAAAAAGGATCAAGTAACAATAGCCAAATGTCATTTCAATCAAAACGTCCAGTTAGAATGGAGATACAGAACAGGATAAGATTTGACTCGAAGATAAAATAAGTGTTACTTTTCAAATTAAATCCAACAGTCATAAGAGACACTTGTATTGAGATATTGTCTGAGCAGTTATTGTTGCGGAAGCCAGCCATTAATAATTTCTGCTTCATATTTACGGTTTTTAACTTGTGTAATTTATTCGCTTTTATCACATTATAGAAGAGGAATGTATTAAATAACATAACATGTTAGCTATATATTAGATAATCTGATAAGTGAATACTATGTATAAGGATACTCGAGAAGCCACATAACTATGAAAGACATATTTTTTATCAAACTTGTAGGTTGACAGTGTCAATGGAGAGAGTGAGTAAGCTTAAACTTGCTCTCTACAGTGTCGTAGGAAGGAGTTATTAAGATTGAATCTGTTGCCTACAGTCTCGAAATAAATTACAAGTAAGTCTGAGGAAAAACTGAGTAAGATTGAGTTGCACTATACAACTTTGAAGGAAAGAATAAGTAAGATTAAAATGCATTTTACAGCCTCGAAGGAAAGACTGAGTAAGATTGAGTTGCACTGTACAACCTCGAAGGAAAGAGTGAGTAAGATTGAGTTGCACTGTATAACCTCGAAGGAAAGACTGAGTAAGATTGAGTTGCACTGTACAACCTCGAAGGAAAGAGTGAGTAAGATTGAGTTGCGCTGTATAACCTCGTAGGAAAGACTGAGTAAGATTGAGTTGCACTGTATAACCTCGAAGGAAAGACTGAGTAAGATTGAGTTGCACTGTACAACCTCGAAGGAAAGAGTGAGTAAGATTGAGTTGCACTGTAGAACCTCGAAGAAAAGAATGAGTAAGCTCGAGTCTGCTTTCTTTACTGTCGAAGAATAGAATAACTAAACTTAAGTGTACATCTGCGTATCGTTGAGACATAGCAGAATGTTTGAACTGAAATATTATTGCTGCTGCATTTTTCCCTTTTCGTCCTAATGAGAATAAACCGTCTTTATTTCCGTAGTGTAAACATTCACGATTGCATATAACATATTATAAAATTTTATTTTTTCAAGACTATTCAAAATTACGCTGTTAACCATAAGAAATATATATGTGTGATAGACTATTATACAATTTATCTTATGTCGTTTCTTTTGTATTCCCACGGTAGATTCTTACACCGATTACTTATTATGACAATCTAATGGGTATTTCTAATAATAAAAAAGTAACACTTTTTTCACTTAATCCTTAAATGTGCTCATTACTGTTATTGTAGAATTAATTTTAATCTATATGTGCCCTCATCTATCGAGAAATGATGTGAGTAATGGATGTCGATAGCTACTTTAAAATTAATTATTGTGTGGAATATGTACATATATATGTCGTATGTAAGAATATCATAAAAGCCGGAATACAGAAAAACGTGAACACAAAATGCCAAAACAAATACATTTAGGCTTTTCTATTCAATCATTTAGACGCACTGGCGTTTCTCTAGAGAATACGTAAATATAGAAAACCTGAACAATTCAGGCTGATGGCAGAAGGCTAAACTCCTATACGCTAATGTTATTGGTGGCAAGAGTAACGCGTGTATTAGAAAAAACAAAAAAAAAACGAGGTTCACAAATTAATGAGGTAAAATACATATGTATGGAATAGGAAAACTACAAACGTTGCTCTCGAATCCAACATAACGCTACATACACGAAGTTATTAGTTATTTGTAAAAACGCGTGCCTGTTAGACGAAGACGAATCGTTGATTTTTAATTTCATTGAAAAGACGATCGGAAAAGCTAATGCACAAACTATAAACACACAAATACAAAAGTACTTTTCACTATTTCGCAGCAAATACATATATATATGTAGAAAAAGAATTAAAATTTTAACGGAAAGCAGGGATCGTTGGTTATTCGTAGAATTGTTATAAGAAGTATCCAAATCAAAATAAATGCTGCCATCAAAAGTACACAAACAAGTAAATTTGATACTAGTTGGATAGATTTTAAAACGATTTTCAATTCCTACTCTGGTTGTCATTGTAGCTTGTATAGCTAAATGGAAGAGTTTAAATTTGCCAACCAAAGTAGAGATTGAAAATTGTTTCAAAATCTACCCAACTAGTATCACTTTACTTGTTTGTGTACTTTTTATTGGATCATTTATTTTGTTTTGGATATTTCTTATAAAAATTCTACAAATATCCAACGATCCTTACTTTCCGTTAAAATGATGATTTTTTTCCCATTTATTTGGTCAGTTTTGTATGTCCATGGAATGGACGCAACATCTATAAACTTTTGGAAGAATTAAAACCATGATCACAAATTTATGAAATCTAATCCTTACTTGTCCTACAGATAAGTGTATAAAGCTACCAAAGTAGGGATTAAATTTTATAAATTTCTGATTGTGGTTTTAATTCTTGTTTCATTACTTTTGGTAGCAGGATCCCTGCTTCATTTTAAAATTCGTAATTTTTTAATACTCTTGTTTGTTTAATTTTTATGTTATTCGTGTACAAGGCATATATTTTACATTTAGAAACTGTCGGGTATCTATTCATCTATATGTAGTGTCATCTGTTTGGTTGAATTGGGTTGAAAAGATATTTAAGTACTTTCATGATATGTTTACCATTTATAAAAAAATAAACTGTATATATTTATCGGAATATCAAAAGCGGATACCCACAGACCAGTCAAATAAGCTGCAGAAATCTTGAAGCGATATTCAGAGCCGTCTAGGGGCTAGCCCCGCTGACGTGATTAGATAGATAGGTAGGTAGTAGACGAAAAAGTTGCTGTTTTGGAAATTTTTTAATTGTTATACCGGAAATGTTAGCGGCCTTTTTAGAGTATGACTAGTATATATACGCATAATATATCATAACCAATACTTTGAATGGTCGGTTTTTTGCTTGGGAATTCAATAGGCTAGTTTTTCGGCAGGTGAATTATTTGGAAACCTTGTCGATCCCTACTATTAAGTACTACCGTACTTAATAATATATATTTAAACGTTTTCTTCTTTATATAATTTTTGAAGTACGGATTCCCGCATATAAAGGTTAAAATATAAAATCAAATGACACGTCTTCACTAATAAAAAAGCGTTAATAAAATGTTGTATGTTTTTTGTAATTGCAGCACAAAAAGGAAAACAACTTTTCAAAATCACACACACATGCACACAAATACCATAAACATTCAGAATAACATAACAGGACAATTCTAATCAATGACATGCCTCGGGCCCACCAGTCTGCGGATTTATACCGCTAGAAACCGGGTTTCGATACCCGTGGTGGGCAAAGCACAGATAACCCTTTGTGTAGCTTTGTGCTTTAAAACAAACCACAACATACCTCGGTTGACAATGTATTCTACATTTCAAAGCAGAGTAAACATATGATTTTAGATATATATGATAAACACCACCACGAAAAGACAAGTGTGAGTTTTACTGTTAGGCCTAAGTTGAATTACACTTACAGCGTCGTGATGGTAGCTTGACTGAGCCGATATAGTCAGGTTAATCGTTAAATTTATTTCAAGTGTGTTTATTTGATATGAAAATTGAAAATAAAAGAAATACTGCTTAAAACTAACAAAAAGTGAGCTATATATATATTTTATTATCTATTGATTTCTATGACCTCGCAATTGCAAGTGGTATTGCAATTATTTACTTCATCATACGTCACACCA